AAGATCAAAATAGTAAAGTTGAACAATTTATTAATGATTTCTTAATTATCGTGTAAAATAGGAAGTGCTGAAACGAAGGGAGTATCTCATTAGTTTCAATTTATATGAAATAATTTGATTTGACATGAAATTTAAGATTATTTTTTTTAAAATTTGTAGTCTAAAATAATTCATATATATATATATATATTGTGTGTGTGGGTTGTAAATCATTTCATTAAGGATTAAAAGTGTATTTTAAAATTAAATTGTTATTATATATGAAAATGTCCCACTCTTTTTTGGACTAACTAAAAAAAATCATATAAATTAAAATAGAGGAAGTAACAAGTTTAAGTCTATAAAATTAAATAACATTTTGATATTACGAATTTTAGTTCTACGTAATCAATAATGTATGTTTGGTTGATTTTATTTATTTATTTTAGTTCATACATATAAATAATTCAAAATTTAATTGTAAGACTAGAATAAGATGAAATAATTACTAAATAACATTATGATTGCATTGGAATTTTAAAAGGTTAAGCATGGAAAGCAAAGCATATAAATAATAGAAAAGGGCCTAATATACATGTCCATTATTAGAAATGGTTTAAATATACTTCTTATTATATTTTCGATTCAAAATATACTTCATTGTTATATTTTTTATCTAAATATATCCCTGTCACTATATTTTGATACAAATTTGCTCTTCATTTTGATAGAGAAGCATTTGATAAACTAAAAATCAAATGACTCACCCTCAATCATAAATACTTGATTTTTTTTAATAAAAAAAATTCACTCGTTAAACTCATCCTGATCAATCCATAAGCATAAGTAATTCAATTATTTCTCAGCTTTAAAAATCATGTTTAAAGTCATTAAATCATGTTTCAAATCAATAGTTCATTCGTAGAGTAAAATCGAGCTTAAGTTATCACTTTGAAATAAAGTTCAATAATCCTATTTATAGGGCAAACCATGTACATATACATAGTTCAGAATATATACTAAAATCAAAATACTAAGATATGATGCAAGTTTGTCCCTCACACGCATAAAATCTTGTTTAAAACCCCTTTGTAGTCACAAAAAAAGTGTTTATGGACCATACTTCAAAAGAAGATTTACACTAAAATCTCACTAAATTAATACTCAGTTAATTAATAATTTCTCTAAAATAATAATTTCCTCTGATTTCGACTTGGGCCAATGGAAAAAATCACTCATTTCGATAAAATAATATGTTTTCAAAAGACCCCTTTATAAATATATAGTCTCATTAATATTATAAATTAATAATTCTCTAAAAGTACAAATATATCTACAAAATTTAGTGAAATATGATTATGTTATGTTCTGTTTTTTGTTTAAATTTAAATCTAGTTGAAGCTCATCTCTAACTTTTCTTATTGCATCCAAAAAATTTGGTGTTGTCTTTTCTAATTGCACCATAAAATTGAAAAGAATTCTAAATGCTAGTGTTTCCTTACGCGTAACTGATTCCAAAGGTATTGTATCATCTTCAACTTTATCATTAACATTGTTTCTCCAATGATATCCACAATTTGTTCTAAGTTCTAGACCTCTGAACATGTATCATTTTCACCCATCCAATAGGTTATTAACGTCAATTTAATTGCGGTAACCGAGATTATTAATCATGACCTCAAGTGCATGAATGACGGTTTCACAAGTGGGTTCTTTCAAATTCTTTGAGATTTCATCCCTGAACAATTTGTTGGTGTCGAAACACTCTGTAAATTAATAAATATTAGTTTATCGATTAAATAATACTCTACAAAATAATGATATTTCATGATCCCGCATATATTAATTTAGAGAGATTTTACTGATATTATAAAAATAGACATATCTTATTCTCGCTTAGAATTGTCTTAAACATGCCTACATTAAATGATAGCTTATAAGAATTCCAAGTAATCTCCTTCAATGATCTAGAATCGAACTCTCAAGATCTATGAATTAGTATAATGATTTGCCTGTTAATCCACGATAAAATCAATGTTAAAATCGAAATATTAGAATAGGAACTCACCTTAGGTGTATGAGAGAGGACTTTGGGTGTTTCCTTTCTAAGAAGTAGGCTAAAAAATGTAGTGAAATAAAAATTTTGAGCAAGGTTCCTCCAATTTCCCACACGTAGCTTTTAACTTTTGCACGATAATTTCACAAAACACTCATATTACTTTTTATACAGAACTCCGATTAACAAACGATTTAATGCGGTAAACCCCAAATTTGATTTCTCATCATTTGAGATAGATTTCTTATCTTAAAACTCGATTAAACATAATTTGGATCAAATCACATGCATTTGATTAGCTTCAACATAATTCAAACATTTGAAGTGTTATGTTAAGGTCGGATCATAGGTTGAGGTCACAATGGGGTTCAGGTCGAGAGTTGGGGTCGGGTCCTGGGTTCGATTTGGGGTCCCAGGTTGAGGTTTGATTTTGAGGTTGGGGTTAGATCTCGGATCGAGGTCGGGTATCGAGTTCAAGTTGGGAGTTGAAACTCAAGTCGGGGTCAGGTCTTTGGTCGGGGTTGGATCCTGATGTCAAGTCTTGGGTTGGCATTAAGGTCGATTTTGGGATCGGATCCCGGATCAGAATCTAGCTAGAGTAAGTGGAGGTATAAGGGGTGGTAGAGTTAAAAAAGGGCTTTTGAAAATGTTTTGCTTACTTTACATACATAAGTCATTTTTCTTAAATTAGAATAAAATAAGTCCAGTTGAAAATTATTTTTCAAAATATTTAAGCCAAATAATCGTGAGAAAAATGGAAAATATTTTTTTTATTGTTAAAGTTGATTTCAGTTAACTCATTTAAAGGTTTTAAATTTTTGGGCTTTAAGGGATTAAAGTGGGTTAGAATCATTTATCCCATTATATCATATCCAATCCGCTTTTTTTCTTCTTTGGGAAAAGGTCAATTATACCCTTGTACTATCTGAAATAATTTAAATATACCCCTCTTTATATACTTTTGGTCCAAATATACCTCTCTTGTTATACTTTCGGTCCAAATATATCCTCCAGTCTCCCACTATACTTTGGTACAAATTTATCCTTAATTTTAGCAAAGAAACATGAGTCAAACTTAGAATTAAATAACTCACTCCCAATTTAAATATTTGATTTTTCTTTAGAAAGTTTGTTTATTCCGGAAGAATTTCATACCTTTTATAGAAGAAGATGGATCCAAGGGTTTTTATCAAATTTCATTCCTTTTAATTAGGGGTGTACTTGATCGTGTTGGTTCGGATTTTTCAAATATCAAAAATCCAAACCAAACCATTTTTGTCAAATTTTTAAAATATTAAACCAAACCAAACTAATAAAACTCTAGTTTTTTCGTATTTTTCAACCTCGGGTTTTTTCGGGTTGGTTCAGATTTTTCAAATACCAATCATTTGTGTCAAATTTTTAAAATTATAAACCAAACCAAACTAATAAAACTTGAGTTTTTTGTGTTTTTCAACCTCGGATTTTTTCGGGTTGGTTCGGATTCTTCAAATACCAAACCAAACCATTTGTGTTGAATTTTAAATTTCAAAATCAAACCAAACTATAAACCTTGGATTTTTTCGGGTTTTTGGATTTTTTTCGGTAAAGTATTCATACAAACAAATAATTAACTTGTACTCCAAATATTTCTTTAGTCCAACCAAAATACAATTATCTAAGGTGTTTGTTAAGAAAATAACACAAAATATGAGATGAGTGATGACACTAAAATATTCAATAAAAAATACTAATGAAATCGTATAAAATAAATATTGCAAATTAATAAGCTATAATGAAAATGATTATAATTTAAAAGTACTAAATCATGCTAAAATAAGTCTAATAAGTATTAATTACATGATTAAACATTAAAGAAGAATTAAAATTAGGTTATGTATTTTAAATGTCTAAACCAATGTAAAACTAAAGAACAAATATTCAACATTATTGTCATTTTAGTGTTGAATTAATTTATTTTGTTAGCATTAGTATTGATTTGATTTTGAATTGAGCTTTATTAGAGTTACTAATATCTATGTACTATAACCTTTATTGGACCATTCAAAATTCTAAGTCTCAAAAAACTTGAAAAAATATGATAAAAGATAAAAATTATGAAAACATATAAGTAATATTTTGAAATTACAACAAAGTAAATACTTTTATGTATAAAATAAATTTTAAAAATTATATATATAATGTTCGGGTTAGTTTGGACTCGGGTAGACTTTTTTTAGTTAAAACTAAACCAACTCAAGTATAGTCGGATTTTTTTCCCGATTTGACTTGATTTGTGGTTTGATTCGGTTTTGTACACCTTAAGTATTGAATATACAATTTTAGCTTATCTTGTACTGGTAGCTAGATGAATCCAAGGGTTTTTTCATCAAATTTCAGTACAAGAGGGGTACATTTGGATCAAAAGTATAACGAGAGGTATATTTAAACTATTTCAAATAGTAAGGTATTTGATGTTTTTCCATTTATTTTTTTTTACATATTTTCATATGAATAAATTGCAACTCAATCAAATTTCAATCTGTCCAGATTCAATTCAATCCGCTTATTTGCCACCGATCGTAGTACAGAGGGTCACCGAAAGTTATTGAAGGCTTACATCCAAGTTTGTTCAGGAATGGGCAAAACAGAAAGAGAACCTTTTGGTAAATCAACATCATTTTCAGAATATTTACCAAAGCCTTATTTTGATATAGCCTTTATTGTAACTAAGCTTAATCATATGTATAGAGAAAATTGTTTTTATCTTTTCTTATTGTTCACTTAACACATGTTGATCAATATAATTCAAGATTCCAAACAAGCAAAGAACGGAGGTTAATTTGCAAGAAGAGACTTGAGAGTGGCTAAGTGGCCACAAAAGAATAACTAATACCAAATAAACATATCTTGTAGAGTTGTATCCATTGGGGTATCATACTTTTGTAAAAGTCCCCAACCTCAACACAAATATTTGACTTTCTAACCATAACAACTCTCTCAAAAAATCATCAGTATCTACACATTTGATGACACCAACACCATTACAACAAGAATATAAAAAAAAAACAAATCAAATCGACAAACTATACATATCTGGTTAACTGAGTGAAGATGCCATTCTTGTTGCCACTGACAGAAGAGGGTTTTCCAACATATTTAAAACAAAAACAGCAGAGCCTTCTATAATGATAAAAGTGCTACACAGGAATGACATCAATCTTTGAACTGTCCTCACATCTCAAAACGATACCCTCCAGACTGGCTGGAAGAATACATTTAGACCACTGACATCCTGTTGAAAGTGGCTCTGGAGGAGGAACAATCATCAGAACGTTATCGTTCCGTCGGACAACTCCCATTACACTCACAGTGCTACCCTCTTTTATATACCTGAACAAAGATTTGGGAGAGGAAAAACCAAACTGAGGACAACATGCATGGCAGGGATAAAAAAGTAATAATATATACATTAATCAAAGCAGGCATCTAGATATGATTGAGCATGTTGTCTGTTATTTAATCAAAGAACTCAAGCAGAAGAAATATTCAAGATTCATTGAAGTTGAGTTAAACCATACCCTTCTTTCAATCGCATTATTCGGTCATCACTGGACAGATTTCTCTGTGCCAGCCATCTGACAAATTCAGGTGACATGTCCCTATTTGATTGATCAATATCCACAACAATAGACTCTTCAACATAAGGGGTTACTCTTGCACCATACCCAGTTTTGACCAAAGCCCTTAATCCAGACTGGAAATCAGAGATATAGAAATCAGAGACATGCCGCTGCAAAGACAAAGGAAGACTTCAGTTTTCTTTAAGAATTATTTCAATGAATTACACAGCATATATGAACAACTTAAGTGTAAATTATGTGGTAAAAATAAAAGGGAACGAGAAGAGCAGGATGAAAGCAACAAACAAGGAAAGGGAGGTTCAAATAAACGTACAATGACATAACATCACATAGCAGTATCAAACAAACAAACCATTCAAACTTCTCTTGATATCTGGACATGAATTCACAGATATGACATACTTTGCAACCTTAGAAATCTTTAGAACACTTCAAGATATCAATAGTTTTCTAGAATACAAATACATATAAGCCTCATTCTGTCCCTCTGCCTAGAACTTTTCCATCGGTTAGTTGGAACAGTGCTTTGAAGCATGCTTTGATTGGTTTATTTCAAAACACAGACAAACTGTTTTCTATAAGCTGGAATTCAAAAAAAAAAATCCATTATAGCATGGTGATAAGTTATTTGTCGGTAAGCTTAAACACATCCAGTAAAAAGGGCATTAGGATTCCTACTTATCCCTATAAACAAGAATTAGATAGTTCTCTTTAAGTTGGAGCCTTCCTATTAAGTGACATAGTGATGGTTATCGTTTAGAGAATCTCCCAAACAGAGTTTATTTTGTATTCTTCCATACAACTGAGATATTATTGTATTTTTCAATACTTTGAGATGCTATCTACTGTTTTAAATGCTTTATATAAACTGTATCTTTATTGTTGTTTATTTTTGCATTGAGTTGAGTAATGTTGAGGTAAGTGTTTCTTTCAGATTTCAGTTCTAGCTTATGTCATATTTAGTTTTTCCCTTGCATGCTCGTACATTCCATGTACTAACGCCATTTGGCCTGCATCTTTTATGATGCAGATACAGGTTATCAGGATCAACATCAAGCTCTTTGTTGATCCAGTTGAGCATTTCAGAGTCATTTGGTGAGCCTCCTGTCTTTCCGGGTGATCCATTTTCATTTTTACTTTAGTATTTTAGTTTTTAGGATGATCGAGGGTTTCGTCTCGACATCCCTCATAGTATTAGAGGCTTCATAGAGAGATAGCTATAGTCATTTAGTCTTTGCATTTAAGTTGTCTTGTTATAAAACTTGAGTTGCCACTTTGGCTAGTTGGATGTTTAATTCTAAAACATTCTAAGTTATTTTGAGAAAGTTGAGTAAAGTTGCATTTGTTTTCTTTAATTAATTCTTAAAGTCTTCCGCTGAGAGTCTAGCTAGGCCAAGGGTTCGCTTGGGACCAGAAATAGTTCTCGAGTGCTAGTCCCGCCCAGGATGTAGGCTCAGAGCGTGACACCAATAGCAATAACCTAGATTCTAAGGCTTAATAATCAATGCATAAGGTTGGAGAGTTGAATTCTTACCTTTATCAATGAATTCTGTGGAGAAACAGGTGCTACCTGTCCAAAATCGCCTCTCCCAAGTCCAAGAACTCAAAATGCAGAAAACAGAGATTTCGGGGTTGTTTATACACTAAAACCCAATTCGGCTCGCTATAGCGGGATCGATTAAAGCTGAGAAACTTAAACTCTAGAAAAAGGTAATTTTTACAACACAAATCTTTTCTTGATGTCCCGACATATACCTTTCATGCCAAGTTTAATTCCGAGAGTTCTACTAACCTAAATTCAATTTTGAAAGGCATTATGGATTCCTTAATGTCTTGGATACAAGAATATATCAACCAACCCCCAAAATCACACCCTACCCATTCCTGAATGACCCTAATTAACCTCACATAGTCCAGATTTTTTGTGAGGCTGACCTAGCTGAAAAAAATTTAAGTCACTATCCAAAAAGTTTTCTGGTCCAAATTCATTCACTATTAGCTTACTCATAACGACCGAATCTGGTTATTACAGTAAAACAATGCAAAAATAAAGTAGGAGCGAAATAAAGGTATTTAAAGGTCAGGCTTCATAAACATAAAACAAATAACATTAAATAAGGCACATTTTTGTTCATCCAAGTAAAGTACAAAAAATATATAATCTTCTAACCAAAATGTACAAATAATTAATGCATAAATAGACATATTAATTGACTAATTTATCCTCTTTACAGACAGACAAACATGTTTCACCTTATTAATTCGTATATACTCCCTTTATTTCATATTATATGGGCACTTCTTATTTTACATGGTTAATAAGAAATCATTTACAGATTGATCAATTTTACTATTTTTCCCTTTGTTCATATTAAATGGCCTCTTGAAAAAAAAAATGGATCTTCAAGAAAAATATTTAAACTTCCAAAGACATATTAATTACAGAGGTATCGTAACACCCTTAAAATTTCTAAACGAAGACTCAAACCATTCTTCATATGCGTATAAGGTTCTATCGGGTGATTCTTAAATTGTGCTTAGGTGTTAAGGTCAATTCCTTAGTGTGAGAATAGATTTAGAGATTGACTAAGGTTATAAGAATCCTCTAACACAAAGTTGAGTTGAAAGCTTCCTTACCAATTGGGTGTCAATGTAATATTTTACTTGGATCAACTTCAAATAATCATATATCTTAGAATATGAAGAATTGCGTGGCCAATAACCCATCAAATTAAAGGTATATGAGTCTTCTTTCTAACACCACCAAGTTTACATTAATTAGAGTTTGAAGTAAAACGTTATACTCATTTCAGTGAAGCCTGTCATATAGTCGCTATTTCACGGCTGATACTATGGACGATGGTATGTTCCACGGATCGTGGAGCCTTCTATGAAGGCTTGCTGCGATTTTTTTCTAGAAACTTAATGCATGTGTTCGGGTTACCTTGGTCCTTTCCCAAGCTTTTTGTCCCTATAAGTCATTTTGGGTGTTTTAAAGGAGTATATCATTCAAGTAACTAGTTATCCTCTCATAATCATCAATCTAAACATTCAAGTTTCCAAAAATTTCTCAGAATTCACTCATGGTTCCTCTTTTCCACCAAGAACCCTAAAATTTCTATGTCAAAAATTCAAAATACAAAGAGAAGTCTTCAATCCAAGGTTTTCTCAAGTTATTCCACTCTAAGAACTCCATAAAATATATTTTTTTCCTCAAGATCAAGCACCAAGATTTCAAGATCAAAGTTTTCCTTCAAGAAAGCTAGTGTTCTTCCTCAGGATCAAGAAAAATGAAGTCTCCGCCAAATTCTTCTATCCAATAGCTTCATAATCAGGTATGTAAAACTATTCATAGTGCTGGACTAAGTTCTTCATCACGCCCTACATCTAAATTCTGTTAGTGAAGAGATAAATCTAGGTTTATACCCTAAGTTCCATGAATTTTTGGAGTTCCCATTTGCGAACTATTGAGATGAAATTTGATACTCTATGCATTTTAATTCTTGAGTTGTTGTTCATGCTTATATTTACCTCATGAGCCCTAGTAATTGAGATTTTGTTTAAAGTTTTTGTACAATTATTTTCAAGCGTTAATTTCAAAATTTAAAATGAGTCCAAGTATATTTTAAGCATCATTTGAAAAGAGTTTTAAAGGAACGCTAACGGTTCCAAATATATTATTTTGCATTGAGAAGAGAACTACTATTTTAAGAAGAGTATAAACAGTTTACAGAAGCATTTTAGTCAGTTAATGAAAGTAAAGATCAATTTATCATTTAAAAAGGGCCTTTTGAGTATTAATTCAACTCAATGAGTATTATTATTATAAGCCCATTAATACATATATTTTGGGAGTAGGATTGATCACCGATTTGGGTAAGAGTTATGATAGCTCGAATCTCATAACCTGCACTTTTAGCATAGATAGGATCGTACCGAAATTCGGGCGACTCCTCACCTGCCTCAAGAATGCTTTTTAGTGGATCCATAAGTGAGTTACATTTCATACTATGGCAACGTGGGCGAGACGTTGTATCATCACGGGCCTCATAGTGATGGTTGTTGGTTAGAGAACTCCCCAAGAAACGTAAAGTATATTATTATTATTACTATTATTATTATAGTATTTCCTATTATTGCATATCTTACTGTAAAACTTTAATGATGTCATTTCAAGTTCATGCTTTACTTTCAGTTCATGTATTCTATTCAATTATGTATTTCAATTCAATCTTATTACATACAGTACGTTCCATGTACTAATGCTATTTGATGTTGCAATGTTTTATAATGCAGTTCAATTACTCTTGATAGCAGGCGTTGTTGACACTCAATTTTGACCCTCATCGATAAGATTAATTTTCGAGCTTCTTAATTTTCAATGATCTGGAATATATATATATATATATATTTATATAATTTTTGTATGTAATTATTATATTCCTTACGAGCATTCAAAAAATCATTTAAAAAAAGATTTTACTTTTTTAAGTGTTCCTTTAATTAGCTCACTTAATATTAGTTTATATTTTTGAATTGATTATTTCATCAGTAAGTTAGCTATTTTTATTTTTATCTCGTTAAGATTATGAAGCTCGTAAATTAATTGTAGTAATTCATCTTATCCGACTACTAGCCGAGCTTATCCTAATTAACTAAGGTCGGCTATACTTTTTAATTTCCAACTGGCTATGATTTAAACTCATATGGCCAAACCTCAAATCCAACTCTATCCTATTCAATTTACAAGGCCAAATATTGAACCTTTTTTTCATTCCCGTGACCAGCCCAAGTCCCCTTAATTGCTAACCCATTCCCAATTACAACTCTAACAATCAAGAGCAATACAACTCATTCCCAACAATGCCACCAAACAACATCTCCCGACCCGGCCCACTCCCTTTCACAAAAAAGCCCAAAAATCCATCTATTTTCCAACGCTAAGCAGCAACAATCCAACACGCCAAACAACAGCCCCCCAACGTTCACAAACATTGACCACATCAGTGAAAATTCCAAGAGAGCCCAGTAACGGCGATACACGGTACCAAACAGCATCTTCTTCCTCGTCCAGTACTGTTCTTGTACAGTGCTTTCGGCTATAGCAGACTGCTATTTTGTCCTCGCCACTACGAGCTTACTCCACGTCGGCACTCAAGGACGAGAGGTCGATCATAGCCGTCTGTTTGCCTTT